GACTTGACGCGGACACCTGAGTAGACGCAGCTACCTGAGGAGGCTCATTAGTCAGTGTGTACAGACTCGAACCAGGCCGATGGGTGAACATGGCCACGTGACGACCCGTCCATGTACACGTGGAGATCGACACACGCTGACCCCCAGGAGTGGTGGTAGTGACCATCGCATCCTGGAGGGCAGCGGTACTCACCAAGTTCGTAGAGAACAAGGGGAGGTGAAGACCACAGAGTGAGCTGGACGGAACCGCCGGACACGGGAGACTAGTGGAGGAACGGGCAAGAACTGGGCCCCCTGAGGGGTCAGCCAGTCTGACTGGAACAGGTGCAGTGAGTGGAGTGAGGGTGGTACTATCGCGAAGGAAACAACGGGAAGCACCTGAGTCAAGCGTGAAGGTGTGCAAGGCCTCAGCAGGCGCAGTACCAGGGAGAGCAGACTCACTAGCACCTAGAGCAGCAGCCTCTATACCTGGGTCGGGCGGCGCATACTGGTAACAGTCACCCTCAGCACTAACAGACAAGGCATACATGGTAGCAAGGATAGCATCATAGTCAAGAGCAAAGATATCAACTCCAGATCTAAGCAGCTCTAGCCAGCGGGGGCGCTCAGCCTCGTCGCCAAACTCTGCGCGCCAAGCGTCGTCTAGGCGGGAGAAGCAGCGGTACTGAGTGTGAAACTTCCCGCATGTCTGACCAGCGCGGTCACCTGTGCGAATGACATACGCGCAGCGAACACTACCCCCAGACGCTGCTGATGCTGCCTCTGGCCACCGCCATAACCTCCCCTCTGAGCAGCTCCACCCCGAGCGCCACCACTGCCGCCTCCACCTCTTCCACTGCCGCCACCACCGCCACCCCCACTCCCACTGCTGCCACCACCGCAGCCCCCACTCCCGCCACCACTCCCACCACTGTCACCACCTCCGCCACCTCCACCACCTCCACTTCCCCCCCCACCACCACCCCCGCTGCCACCGCCACCACTCTTGCCACCCTTGCCCTTGCTGCTGCGGCGCTTCCCACTAAGAGCAGAAATAGTCCTAACATCCTCAATGCCAAGGATGTCAACAGCAGCAGAAGAAGCGTAGGAGGGGGCAAGGGGGGAGGGGGAACACCCCTCAAAGAAGGGTGTGAGAGGAGTGCCACGAGCAGCACCTACAGCGACTACACTATTCTCAGCTGCAAGGAGGTGCTTCTCGAGCAGGTCGACAGTGAGGTCTGTGGGGTCAAGAGCAAGAAAGTGGTCCCTGACTGCGCGAAGAGAGTCAGGGAGGCGGGTGACTATGAAACAGAGAGTGATGTACATCGGGGGGAAGGGGGGGGGGGGGGGGTCCTGTCTAGGAACTCTGCTGGGAGGGCAGCGCGGTATCGAGGGTCGCTAGTGCAAAGGTGGGTAACTAGGTCCTCGACTTTGGTAAAGGCTGACAGCTCGGGAAACAGGTAGGGCAGGATAAGGCGGCCGAGAGCAGCAGTGGCAGCGGAGGAGTAACGAACGACTACAGCCTCGTACAGGGCCTTAGCAGTCTTGTGCTGGCCAAAGTGAGCGCGTTCGGCTAACGGCAGGTGGTTGTGAACGGCTAAGCGAGCAGTAGCGTCATGAGTAAGCCACTGTGAGCGAGTCGCGCTGTCAGCTGTGGCGGGAGGGGCGAGAGATGCTCCAGACGTGTGGTCAAACAACGAAACGCTGTCTCTAGAATCGGTCGGTAAGTACAGCTGTAAGTCGTGGAGCCACGTATCGAACTGGATCGGACGGCCCTCATGATCGAATGTGAGTACACAGAGAGAAGCCATAGCGGGCAGAGTAGGGCGGTGCGCGACTAGTAGGGCAGCACGCAGGCAGGGCGGCGCACGAGCACTAGGGAAGCGCGCAGGGCAGGGAGAGGCGGCGCACGGCTAGGGAAGAGTGGTATGCAGCCATGGCAGGGCAGGGTGGCGCGGGCAGGGCGGTGCGGGCAGCGGTGCGGCTGCCAGCAGGGCGGCGCGCGGGCAGCAGAGCACCGGCCAGTAGGGCTGCGCACACCAGGGCGTCGCGGGCAGGGCGGTGCGGGCAGCGGTGCGGCTGCCAGCAGGGCGGCGCGCAGGCAGCAGGGCGCCGGCCAGCAGGGCTGCGCGCAGTAGGGCGGACAGCAGTAGGGCGGCGCGAGCAGCAGGGCGGCGTGCAGCAGGGCGGTGCGGGCAGCAAGGCGGCTCAGCGCGGGCAGGGCAGGGCGACGCGCAGGCAGCAATGCGGTGCGCGGGCAGCAGGGCGACGCGACGGCCAGCAGGGCGACGCGACTGACAGGGCAGGGCGACGCGACAGCAAGCAGGGCGACGCGACAGCAAGCAGGGCGACGCGACGGGCAGGGCAGGGCGACGCGACAGGCAGGGCAGGGCGACGCGACTAGTGGGGCAGCGCTATGTGGTGGGCCCTAAAAAAAAATCGGTCCTAGAACAGGACCTGCTCTGAAACCATGTCAGAATACTGAACGAAAATGAATGCATTTAGCAGAAAGATGGTACAAGTACTAACCCTAATTGGGTTGTACCCCTTATGGGCTACCCCACTACAGCCTACACAATGTAAGCACTATAACATTTTGACACCGGCCATTACAGGCAATCGGCTGCTCCTCCCAAGCGAGGGCGGGGCCAACTTCGTTCAAGAACATGCTCTATGTGATTGTAACACGGCAGTAGTTTGTGCGCAATCTCTTGATGGGATGATGCGCTGTAGAGATACATTCTGAAATGATAGTACAACCTTTAGGTCATTCCAACAGGACACTATTTCATCCTCCGATTTGTCAACTTAATAGGAGTGGCCACGAACATTAAATCAATGTGTTACCAATCCTGCCTAGTTGTTTGTCACTGAATTTAGAGCCTCTTTTGGCTGAGATTTTTCTATATCGTATCTGCAAAAGCAACCAAAACGAGTGAAACAGTATGAGAGTGTGAAGTAGGAAATTTTGATGAGATTTGTGAAGGTCTGGACACCCATGGTATGAAGCCAATGTGGTAAAAACTTTAGTAACACACGTGTTGCTCTTGTAATAAGTATCAATACGTACAGCCACAGAGTCGTCAGCTGTGAGTTCACGTTTTAAGAATATTTTAGAGAGTACGAGGTGAAGATTGACTTGAGGGTCATGGATTGACTAGTGAACAGAATTGGTTCTTGTATTTTTGCAGAAACAAGCTCTCCGTGTTTGGGCTGACTCGAGGAAAACAGACTGACTGGAGCGATAGAGTCGATTACTGTAGACAGGTGCACCACCACCTCAGACAGTACAAAAAGGCGTTCTGCTCTGACCACCTTGACAACTCCACAAGCTCCCAGTCAATTGATCTTCGGAATCAGTCAGCTGTCCATTCAAGTCCATGGCCGGTACTGTAGGCTGGAAAATTACCCTGGGAAATTGTTGTGGTCAAGGATGCTAGGGCTACTCTTGAACTCCCCCACCATCCCAGAAGTGTGGGAAAAGCGACAAGGGCAGGCTGGCACTGAGGAACAACGATGGCATTTCGAAGACAACCAATAATCACGAAGCGACACGCCGCCCCCTGGGCAGTGCTCATGTCTCCGCAAAAAAATATAACGCCTGCCCAGCCCAGCCTCATCAGCTCTGGGAGCCAGAGAGCGAAGCGAGCAGACATCCAGCAAGCTACTCAACCGTTCCGCAGCCATCTAAAACTCGCATAGCTTCCGCCATTATTGGTGCTGACGCGGATCCCTCCCTTCAGCGGGCCCTCCCCCCACTCCATCCTACCCGCTCCCCTCTTCCCCTTGGCCTCCCGCTTCCCCTTGCTCCCCGCCATCTGACCTGACAATGACATGACAACGCGTCTCGATCGCCCCCGTCGCCTCGCCTCGCCTTGCCTCCCTCCCCCGCCGCCCTTCTCACCTCCCCTCTTCCTCCTCCTCACCTCACCTCACCTCCCCCAGAACCACGTTCTCATTTCAAGGCTCAACCGACCAGTTCTCCATCCAACCCTGGGCAATCCCAAGGGTTCGTTTGTTCCATTCCATCATTCGCAGTACACCTCATCTGAACTTGAAAATATGGAGCAAGATGGTGGCTGTGTGCCTCGGTACCTAGGTCGTAGAGTCCCCATGGACTAAGATTCGACGGATTTGCCTTTAGCTTACTCGAGCAGGATTAGCGCACAGGGTTGTGACATTAGAACCGAGTAATTTAACTTTGTTTCGAGATTCTCGACCCCGGAAGTTGAGGATGGAGGATTGGAGCAACAACGCGTGGCTGCTGGAAGCCGACGACGGCGGATTCCACGTCGACGATTGCGTTTACGAAGAGGACGAAATCGGTTACGTCGTCGACGACGACGAGTCCCTTCCCTGGGAGCAGCATGTGCGTAGTAAGAGGCTTATGAGGCGCCTCTGAAGGCAGCACGTGCGTAACGGCCTCTCTTGTACAACTCAGCAGGGTGCTGAGGCGTGTTCCAGATTCTACGCTCCTGGAAGGCTTTCAACTAGGTCATATGTTGAATGTCAGGATTCTTGAAGAATCTTGTCCGTCGCGTAGGAGCGTGGCTTCATTGGAAGTTTGAGATAGCTCTGGTGGCGTTGTTCATATTCCGCGTGCTAGTTCCGGTGACTTTTTTCATGCTGGCTTAAACTTCGTAGAGTGGTCAACGGTTCCGACACCATCGTGCTTCTGGTTAGACCGCGCTCTTATGTTGCTCGAATTCCTTTCCTCTCCTCTCATCCGCCCGCCTTCCTGTTCCGTCTCCTTGCCGAGGGAACGTCGACGTCTCCAGTCCGTGCGAGCGACTCGGTGTGGAGATCCTGCGACCCATCTCCCACCCGTTTCGCGCCAGCTGTCGCATCGTCTCCTGCCACTCCGTTTCCGCTGTTCCTTCCTACCCGCTCTTCCTATTTCTTCCGCGCTCTCTTCCCAATCACTTCCGTTGTCAAGAGGAGCGAGTTCACACGGCAACGGGCGTGGTGCAGGTGACGGTGTGCGGCGATCGCGGCAACCCAGCGCCAATCACTCTGTCTTCATGTCCCTGTTCCCTCCTATCCTACTCTTTCTCACCCCACCTCCCGCTGTCAGGTCGAACGGGTCCACAAGGCAACAGGCGTCGTGCAGAGAATCGCGGGAAGAACCGTCCAGTCACCCTGTCTCCATGTCCTTCCCGCCTCCCACCTGCGCGACTCTGTCTCACTCTACCTCCCGCTGTCAGGTCGAGCGAGTGCAGACGGCAACGGGCGTGGTGCAGGTGACGGTGTGCGGCGATCGCGGCAACCCGCCGCTGATCACCTATCACGTCGTCGGGCTCAATCGTGAGTCTCTCTGATAACTTATCACGACGCAATCGTGAGCGCCTCCCTCCCTTCTTGCTAACCCACATCGCGCCATCCCACCCTCCGCGCGTCGGATTACACGTGTTTCCAAGGCCTCCGCGGTACCCCCCCATCTCACTCTCCCTTCCCCGCTCTCCCCCATCCCACCCTCCGCTTGTCGAATTCCACCTGCTTTCAAGCATGCTCTGCGCGGACACCTCGGCGCTGCTTGATACCCCCCGTCTCACTCTCCCCTCCCCGCTATCCCTCATCCCACCCTCCGCGCGTCAGACTCCACGTGCTTCCAAGGCCTCATGCTCTGTGCGGACACATCCGCGTTGCTTCTACGAAACTTCTGCATATTCCACGTCGACGCGCCGGGTCACGAGGTGAGCACGGCCGTCCTGGGGTGTCTTCAAGGGAGCCGTCAGGTTTCCGCACAGGTTGCTTCTGAGGACGAGGGAATTTTTTTTTGACACGTCTCGAAAATATTTTTGCAGAGGCTGTTTTTGAGGTCGGGGAAGACGACGCTCGTAAGAAGAGTTGTGTCGAGAACCGCCCTTTCTGTCCCCAATAGCTGTCCCTCTCCCTTCCTGTGCGCCGCGCGCAAGAGGATATGGAGGAGATCTCCTCGTCGCACCCGCTGCTGTGCGCGGCCATATTGGTGCGCCTCATTGTGTACCTGAACCTTTTCTCCTCTCCCCCACCACCCCCCACCCTTTTCCCCGCCGTGCGCCGCGAGCAGGAGGACGCGGAGGAGATCCCCTCGTCGCGCCCGCTGCTCTCCGCGGACGATCTGGCGGAGCAGGTGGCGGAGGTGGCGCGGCACTTTGCGCTCGCTGATGTCACGCTCATGGGCGTCACTGCGGGCGCCTACGTCCTCACGCTCTTCGCTGTACGCCCTCGCCGCGCGTTTGGCTGCCTGCCCGCCTACTTGCCTGCCTGCTTGCTGCGTTCCCGCGCCCCCCGCGCTCTCCCCCGCGCCGCCTGCCTGCCTGCTTGCCTGCTTCCCGTATTCCCTTGGTCCCTCCACCTTGTCCCTTCCTCTCAATCCTGCCGCTGCACCCGCAGCTATCCCACCCACATCTGGTGCCAGGGCTCATTCTCGTGTCATGCGTCCCCTTCCTCCCCTCACCTTTTCCTCTGCTCCACCCGCCTTCCCCCCTTTCCTCCTTTCCCCCCGTTTCTCCTGCCACCGCGCCCGCAGCTATCTCACGGCCATCTGGTGCGCGGACTCATTCTCGTATCTCCTCTGCTCTCGCCGCCCTCCTGGTCTGAGTGGGCGCACAACAAGGTGAGCCATGGCGCGGGCTGACGTGAGACACGTGACATGCAGCGTGCAGCGTGCAGCGAGTGAGGGGCATGGAAGAAGTTGTGCAGAGTGCAGCACACAATATGGACTACGGCGAAGCATGCAATAAGGTGTACAGTAAGGTGAAGGATATCCGCTTTAAGTGAGAATGCAGGCCGGTCTTTTCCCAAATTCTTGTCTCAAGTCGAATCTCCTTCTCCCTCTCCTCTTTCCCCTGTGTCTACCACGAGAGCAGGTGACCATGAGTGTGCTCTCCTATTACGGCATGACGTCATACATCAAGGACTCGCTCTTCGACCGCTATTTCTGCCCCGTACGTGTCCCTCGCCTCTCGCGTCTCTCCTCTTGCCCCTCGCGCCTCGCCTCTCGCCCCTCGCCCCTTGCCTCTCGACCCTCGCCCAATGTTGCTCATTTCCATTCCCCCTTGATTTGCTGCCCCACCCTCCCCCCCACTCTCGACCACCAATCCCCCTTCTCCCGCCTCACATGCTGCTGCATGATTCTTACCCCTTTCATGTTCATTCCCCTGCCCACCTGTCTCCCGTATCCTCCTCCTCCTCCTCCTCCTCCTCCTCCTCCTCCTCCTCCTCCTCCTCCTCCTCCTCCTCCTCCTCCTCCTCCTCCTCCTCCCCCTCCCCCTCCCCCTCCCCCTCCTCCCCTCTCCTACCCCCTCCCCCGTCTCACCTGCATGTGTCCTGCAGGCCACGTCAGGCTTCCACGGACCTGCGTCAGATGCGCTCATGTCCTTCCGCAGGGTAAGTCTGCGACCAATGTAACTCCGATGGGTAGGGGGCTGCCCACAAGGGACGCTTTGCTCTTTAGCAGTTGAGATTGCTGGGCGTGGAAAGGCAGGTGGGCCCCTGCACTGTGCATGTGCATGTGCATGTGCATGTGCCTGTGCATGTGCCTGTGCATGTGCATGTGCATGTGCATGTGCATGTGCATGTGCATGTGCATGTGCCTGTGCATGTGCATCTGCATCTGCATGTGTATCACTGAGATGCAGTGGATCCTGCAGGCCGGGCCTCATTGTTATTCCGTACCCCTTCCTTTCCGTGGCATTTATTCCTTTTCTTCTTCTCCCTCAGGAGCTGGACTATCACGAGCCTGAGAATCTCATGCGTTATTTCTACGCCATCCAGAGGTATGTCCGTGCCTTCCAGCTGATTTTTGAGTCGACTCGAAAGGAACTCATGCTCAACTGCTGCTGTGCCATCGAGAGGTACATCGAGGTCGATGCCTGTACACACCTTCTTTTCCTTTTTAGCGCAATCTCAGTGTCCCGTGATTGGTTGCAAAGCAAATGCACTGCGCTTCCATCCACTCGTTTCACTTCCTTTCTCTGTTTATCAGAGCGTGCAGACGGCTCTGTTCCCTCTCGGCCACCAGCAGCTCGTTGCCTCTTCTCACTCACCACTCCCCTTCCCCTCTCGGTTCCGCTCCCCCATTCCCCAGCCGCAACAACCTGCTCCCTGCACTGGCGGCGCTGCAGGTGCCAGTGCTACTGGCCGTGGGTGACTCGTCCCCCTTCAACCCCCTCGCTCGCTCCGCCTTCCACCACCTCTATGCCAAGGCTCCTCTGTTTTCACCTGGCGCCTCTTCTTGCTCCTCCTCAACCGCATCTCTCACGCTCTCCACCTCTTCCTCGCCCTCTCGCCCTCACTCTCGCTCTGAATCTCACTCTTACTTTTTATCTGAGGAGGCAGAAAAGGGGGTGGAGGATAGGGAAGAGGAGGGTGAGAGGGATGCGAGAGGCACGGGTGGGTTGGTGGCCGTGGCTGAGTGTGACAGGATGGGAGGAAGGAGGATGTGGGAAGGGGGGGTAAGACGAGGGCAGATGGGGAGTGAAGATGCTGCTACGTTGGCTGTGGACGGGGAGAGGGATGGAGGCAGGGAGGAGAGGCGGGCAGGGATAGAGGAGCGGGAATGGGAGAATGGGAGTGCGAGTGAGCAGTGGAGAGAGAGAGGGGAGGATAGCAGCACGTGTGCAAGTGAAGAGGGCAGCAGTGGAAGGCGCGAAAGGAAAGGGGGCAGTGGCAGCAACAGGTGCGAGAGAGAAGTAACCAGCAGGAGCAGCAGCAGCAGCAGCAGCAGCATGTGCGAGAGTGTAGGGAGCAGCAGCAGCAGGTGTGTGGTGTGGGTGGAGGTGGAGGCGTGTGGGTCGCTGGTGACAGAGGAGCGCCCCCACACGCTCCTCCCTGCCCTCTGCCACTTCATCTCACAGCTCCGCCCAGCAGCCAGCCACCAATGGACCTGTTGCCAGTGCGCAGGGGAGGAAGGGGCGGAGAGGAGTGGCTACGGGAGGGAGTGGGCGGTGGGGCGTGTGGAGGAAGGGTCGAGTTCGGGATGGGTGGATGGGTTGGCAGAGGGAAGGGTGCATGTGGGAGGGGCAGAGCAGGGTCAGCGGCAATGGCAGGATCAAGAGCAGTGGCATAAACTCGTGAACGCACAGCCGCAAGAGCAGCAGCAGCAGCAGCAGCAGCAGCAGCAGCAGCAGCAGCAGCAGCAGCAGCAGCAGCAGCAGCAGCAGCAGCAAGAGCAGCAGATGCAGAGGCAAGCTGTTGCGCTGCCATTGTCAACATCAAGTCATCGCAGCTATCGCGATTCACCCTTCTGCATCCCGCTCTTCCTACCCACCTCGTCTCAGCAACAGCAGCACCAGCAGCAGTACCAGCAGCAGTACCAGCAGCAGTACCAGCAGCAGTACCAGCAGCAGTACCAGCAGCAGCAAAAGAAAACAACAGCAGCAGCAGTCCGTCTCCTGCACACTCCCGTCCCCTACTCTCTCCAACCCCCTCAAGTCACCATCCGTCGAAGGTTCCCACCTCCCCTCTCCCTCCTCCATCCCGCCCCTCATCTCCCCGTCCTCCTCCTCTCCCTCCACCTCCACCCCCTCGCGTACCACCCCCTCCCTCTGCACGCCCTTCTGGACACCTGCGTGCACCCCAGCTGCTTTGTCGCCTGCCTTCACACCAGCTGCTGTGTCACCTGTGTGCATTCCTGCTCCTGCGCTCACCCACCCACCCATGGAGCACTGCAGCAGCAGCAGCAAGTGCATTCCAGCAACAGCTGGGGCGGTTGTGAGGGGCTTTGGGCAGCAGGCGTGTGCGAGGGAGTGTGAGATGAATGTATCGCAGGTGCGGCAGCGGGAGTTGGAGCAAGGGAGGGATTGGGAGAGGGGGAAAGAGCAGATGTATCTGGAGGTGGAGAGGAGGAGGCTGCAGCCGGTGCGCACCAGTGGTGAGGGAAGGAGGTTTGGGGAGCAGGAGGCACAGTGGGCAGGGTTTGAACAAGTGTGTGGGTCGCCCACAAGCTGATCGGACTTGCTCAGTGGGATAAGCTGGTTTCTAAAAAATGTGGGTCCCCCACAAGCTGGTTGGAACTGCTCCGTGTGACGAGCCAGGCCTGGGAATTCTAAAAAACTAAGAGGTGGGAGGAGGAGGCGGCACAGCGGATGGGGTTTGAAGAAGCGTGTGGGTCGCCCACAAGCTGATAGCAACTGCACAAGTGGCCGCATTGGTGTACATGGTGGAGTGCGAGCCTGCTGTGCATATTCTTTCCAATAAAGGAATAATAAAGATGAGGCACACACGAGTGCTCTCTCAGGTGTAAGCCTGGCGTGGATGGTCTTGGAGAGCGCCCACTCAGCTCAGGTGCATGATTCCTCTGGTCAACCCGAGAGCTCTGGGGGTGCACAAGCTCCAACCAACGTACTTTGCATGTCCCGTTGACCAATAAGATATGTGTATGCCATATTTACTGCCCTGCGCACAGCACCTGCATCTGATGCTCTGTGAAGGACACATGTTATATTTCTAGAATGCATGCTACATTGCATGTACAAGGAGAGCAGTGCTGACAAGGATTACATTATACTGTAATACCCTGGATATAAGACCCCCTCCAGTTGTAGACCCCCGGGTCTGCAATACGGAGGGGGGTACGCTAAATAGGTCGTTTGTAGTTATACCCCCTTAAATGGTGGCTAACATTATAAGACCCCACTCCCCTTAGAGAATCAGTCATTTTATAGGCAATGAATGCATTTCTGATAGCTTTTCTGCCATTTTTCACACCATAACCCATAAACTTTTCATTAACGAGGGGTAACAGCCACTCACAAAAGCACATCTACTCATCATCATGTCCATTCTGTGTATTAATTTTGAATGCTAAAAACAAAGTTCATTCCAGGTATTCCTTTTGAATGCTAAAAACGGAGCACATAGTGTTGACATGTCTGGCTTGTTAGAATAGTAGCAACTTAGGTTTAGGAGCCATGGCTAGGTTAGAGTGTCGAGAGAGTTTTGGGTGAGGGAAAGTCGAGAAGGAGAATGATGGTTTCACTATGGAAAGTTGGGATACAAATAGCAAACCCTAAATTGGGTTGTACTCACTACAGAGTACCCCACTGCACGCTAGACAGCAAATACATTCTGACACACCCCCATAGTTAAAGTGGGGTATAATCAGCAGAATAAGCAGTCATAGAGCAGGTTCACCAGTACAAGCAAAGCTAGAGGCATTCACAAAGGGCAAGTGAGGAGGAGGAGGCTAGACTGTTAGAGGAGAGGAGATAGGAGGCGACGGCTGATGTTGCAGACACACGGGCAACAGGAGCGGCGCGCACGGTGGCTACCGGAGCAAGGGCCCCGGACTACAGGAGTAACTGGCTCTGCGGCTAACTCTGAGCGGCAGGAGCAACGGACCCACGGGCGACAGGCGCAGCAGGCTCTCTGAGCTACCAGCAGCAGGGCCCCGGACTACAGGTGCTGCGGACGACAAGACGGCAGCCTCCGCTCAACCTCCCCCAACTGTCCCACCCCCCTTTCACACACCCCTTGCTGCACCCCTAGCTCCACTCCCACGTCACCCCCCTAGCACCACTCCCTCGGCTCCCACACACCCACCCCCCTCAGCGGCAGCTGCAGTAGTGGGAGACGAAGGAGGAGGAGGAGTAGGGGACGGTTCACACACCCGCCACCCCCATACCCGCCACCCCGCAGTTGCACGAGGACAGGAGGCGGGAGGGGCGGCTCGCGGGCTGCAGGGGCGGTTCGCGAGCTGCAGGAGGGGCAGCGCGTGGGGCCCCGAGGGCGCCACGACGGGCGACGGGAGGGGGGGGGGGCTGGTGCTGCAGATCCCTCCCCCCCCACTGCTGCACCCACAGCAGGAGGATGGAGGAGAAGTGGGGGGGGCGGGGGGGGCTGGTGCTGCAGATCCCCTCTGCCACCTCCTTAACCTACAAGCTCCCCCCCCCTCCCAACACAAGGTGCGGCAGGGAGAGAGGGAGGAGGAGGCGTGGCGGCAGCTGCTGTTGCTGAGGCACATCCGCCACCCCCTCACACCCTCTCCCCCCCGTCCCCACGGAGGGGGGGGAAGGGGGGGAGGGGGACGGGGGCGGAGCTGTGCGTGCGACTGCAGGGCACGCGGGCAGGAGGAACCCCCTCTTGCCACCCCCTTACCCTTCATGATGGGACAGGGCACCGGGGCCGCGGCTAGGGGCAACGGGTCGCGAGGGGCCGAGGCTAGGGGCTGCAGGTTAGGGGCTGCAGGTCGCGAGGGGCCATAGCTAGGGGCGACGAGGCCAGTGGGGCCGAGGGGCGCGGCTAGGTACGGGGCCGGGCGCTGGGCTAGGGACGGGGCCGGGAGCTGGGCAGGTACGGGGCTGGGCGTTGGGCGCGGAACGGGGCCGGGGGCGAGGCTAGGTACGGGGCCGGGCGCAGGCTAGGTACTGGGCCGGGCGTGGGCTAGGTACGGGGCCAGGCGCGGGCTAGGTACGGGGCCGGGCGCGGGCTAGGTACGGGGCCGGGCGCTGGGCTAGGGATGAGGCCGGGCGCTGGGCAGGTACGGGGCCGGGCGCTGGGTACGGAACGGGGCCAGGCGCGAGGCTAGGTACTGGGCCGGACGTGGGCTAGGTACGGGGCCAGGCGCGGGCTAGGTACGTGGCCGGGCGCGGGCGAGGTAGAGGGCCAGGCGTGGGCTTGGTACGGGCCGGGCGCTGGCTAGGTCAGGCCGGGCGCGGGCTGGTTACGGGGCCGGGCGCGGGCAAGAGATGGGGCCGGGCGCTGGGCGAAGGACGGGGCCAGGCGCGGGCTTGGTACGGGCCGGACGCGAGCTAGGTACGGGCCGGGCGCGAGCTAGGTATGGGGCCAGGCGCGGGCGTGATACAGGCCGGGCGCGGGCTAGGTACGGGGCCAGGCGCGGGCGAGAGACGGGGCTGGGCGCGGGCTAGGTACGGGCCGGTCACGGGCTAGGTACGGGCCGGTCGCGGGGTAGGTACGGGCCGGGCGCGGGGCGACGGGGTCGACGGGGCCAACGGGGCCGAGGGGCGCGGCTAGGGGCGACGGGGCCAACGGGGCCGAGTGGCACAGCTAGGGGCGACGGGGCCAAGGGGCCGAGCCTAGGGGCTAGGGGCGACGCCAAGGGACGACGGGCCGGGGCCTAGGCTAGCAGGGCATTAGGTGGTGGGCCCATTAATGTGAGGTCCTAGGAACGACCTACTCTAATAGCATGTTTTTTTTTTTTTTTTTTTTTTTTTTGAAGAAGAGGGGTTGCATTAGCAAGAATTGGGATACAAATAGCAAACCCTAAATTGGGTTGTACTCACTACAGAGTACCCCACTGCAGGCTAGACAGCAAATACATTCTGACATGGCTTCCAGAACACAAGTACCGTATCACCCCGGATAGAAGCGCAGGCCTATGATAAGCGCATGCGCTTCTATCTGGAGCAATGCGCTTATGGCCGATCCTCAATTATAAGCGCACCCCCTGTGAAAACGTTACTTATTATAAGCGCATGTACAATTTTAAATTAAAATTTATGTTCGAAACGGTAGCGAGTTTCAATTTTGAAGCGAGTACAATCTCATTTTCGCTGAGTTTGACTCTCGAAGACCTGACTGGCTGCGCGTCCAGTCAGGATGTGCTTGCATGACTGCGAAGTGTCGCATCTTGGCCCCTGTGTGCTGGAAGAGAATCGCTTGCAGGAGATGTGACGCGAAAAATTTCGACTCGGTTGAAATGGCAAGAGTGAAACATACAAGTTGGTGTCTTAAATTTATAAATTCGTATATGTCAGTATATAAGCGCACACGCTTATAAAAATGACTCAATTAAAAGCACACCCCCCTAAAAAACATTGTTTTATTATAAGCGCACCTGCGCTTCTATCCGGGGTGATACGGTAATATACATTACCTTACCGTATTACCCCGGATAGAAGCGCACCTGCGCTTACAATAAAGCAGAGTTTTTTAGGGGGGTGCGCTTCGAATCGAGTCATTTTTATAAGCGCATGCATTTATAGAATGACAGATCCATATATAAAATTTTATAGCATCAAAATATACATCTCAGTCGTACCATTCTGTCAGAATGGTGAAGGAATGAATGACTGAACTAGCAAGGAGGTGGGTACAAGTAGGAAACCTAAAAGTGTTGTACCCTATATGGACTACCCCACTACAGCCTAGATAGACTATAGCATATAAGTTTGACACACCCCCATAGGCAAAGTGGGGGAGAACAAGAGGTCACAAGACCGGTCAAGAAAGACAAAGCAAGCTCAGGGTGGATCACGACGTCACCACACATTCTGAGCACAAGCAAATGGCCACAAGGCCAGTTCACATGCAGAGTTATATAAAGGAGAACAAACAATACAGTGAACACAACCTAGCAAGTTCACATGCAGGTATAGGTATAGAGATCACAGTACAAGAAAAGTCAAGAGGTAAGCAAGTGAGGTACAGTAGGTACAAGGCCTAGAACAGTACAGAAACGCTGATGATCACAAGGCTCAAGTGCCTTGGTGAAAACATCAGCTGTGTTGGCCCGAGAGGCCACGTAAGCAAGACGAAGCTGACGCTGCTGCTGCAACTCTCGAGCAAGGAAGTAGCGCAGAGCAATGTGCTTCGTTCTGTGCTCCAGTCTATGCTCCTGACACAAGGCAAGCATGGCCTTGTTGTCGACGTACAGAACTGGAGGAGAACGAGGCGCCTCTCCCAAGTCGGTCAGCAGGTAGGTGAGCCAGCGTAACTCCTGTGCAGCCATGGCCCCAGCATAGATCTCAGCCTCACAACTGGAGATGAGAACAGAAGACGAGCGTGTAGACCGCCAAGAGACAGAACCGGAGCCAAGGCTGAAGGTGTAACCCTGTGACGACCGCTGTGTAGCCAAGTCTTCAACCCAGGAAGCTTCTGCGTGACCAGTGAGGACAACTCGAGCCCATCCTCCAAGCACGAGCCCCAAGCCTGACGTACTGCACAAGTAGCGCAACACCCTCTTCGCAGCATCCCAGTGCACCTTTCGG